GTGGGTTCTTCCGTAATGCCGCCAAGAAAGACCCGCAGGAGGGTTACCGGACCCTGATCGACCAGCAGGTGGTCTACATCCATCCTTCCAGTGCCCTCTTCAACAGACAGCCAGAATGGTAGGTGGATGGATCGCAGGGTCTAGGGACAGAAAACCTGTAAATCTGGCATTTTGCGACCATGGCTTCCCTACTCCCAGTACTTCCTGTTATAACATTGCTTGCATTTCTTGAGCAGCAGAAACCTGAGTTAGGCACAATGTATCAAACCCTATGCCAGAATGAAAATCATAGGGGTGAGACCTAGTTGCAAAAAAAATTGTGGTTTAAAAAAACTACCTAGAGGTGTAGTTTTAAAGTAACATTTTTTTTTTTAAAGGACTCTTTCTCTAGAACCCTAATATGAAACTGATTCAAAACCACCATGTTATCACAGGAGAAGGGTTAGAAATGCAACTTCTTGCCTGTTTGGCCTTCCCCATCCCTTGTGGCAGTGTGTGAGACCGCTCTTCAGGGCCTTAGAATTCTGTGGAAACATTCTAATAAACCACCCCATGGAGCAAGAAGCAGATTAGAGAAGGGATGTGACTGGCTCCACGTCACTTACTAGTTAGAGCCAGAGCCAGGACTAGAACACATTCTCCTGAGACCTTTCTTGTGTTTAGAGGTGTGTGGGTGCTTCAGTATCGGGGTGTGGCTATCATAAACAGTCTGTAGTCTTGTAGGGGTCAGGCGTGAGAGGTAAGAGGATAAAGTGTAAGCTCAGCTGAGGCCTGCTAGGGATCAGGTTGACTGTAGAGTGGGACCTGCATCCAGAGGCTTGAGTTCTATTTCTGTCCCCCCATAGGGTCGTATACCATGAGCTGGTGCTGACCACCAAGGAATACATGCGTGAGGTTACCACCATCGACCCGCGGTGGCTTGTGGAGTTTGCCCCGGCTTTCTTTAAGGTCTCCGACCCAACTAAGCTAAGCAAACAGAAGAAGCAGCAGCGTCTGGAACCCCTGTACAACCGCTATGAGGAACCCAATGCCTGGAGAATATCCCGGGCCTTCCGACGGCGCTGAAAGGCAAGCGTGTTCATTTGCCTCTCCGGCAGCAGTAGTCTGGGGCTCGCACTTATTCTCATTGATGACAGGCTGGTCCTGAGGATACAGCTGTCCTGTGACTGACTGTCTTAACTGGGCATTTTCTCAACTTGACTCTCATTTCTTCCCTGCTGGTAAAATAGAAACAGGGATTTAGGCTTGGCTTTGGCAAGAGCCTCCAGCTCCCATCACCCCAAGTCCTTGGGGCCTGTTGGGAGCTCCTAGCTAACACGGGGACACAGTGCATCAGCTTCAAGAAAGGGGCAACTTGTGCAGTCCCAGGATGGGCAAGGAGAGTGGGCGAGTGTCTTATGCAAGGACATGGTGAGGGCGCTGATGCCCCAGCTGGCAGGAGCTACTGTGCTCATCTAAAGTGTGTGCCCCGGGGTTTCCCACCCCTTCTCCAGCCCTGTACTTTGGTTTGACCTCCATGGAAATATTTATTTTCTTAAGGAATCTAAAATGATTTTCTGTGACTGTTTCTTTGAGCTGAAAGGGTAGGATACTGGCTTGGGCACAGAGTGAGGGAGATTTAGTATCTGTGCTCGGGTGCATATGATGAGAATCCCCTAAAACCAGAGCGCAGGGCCTCTTTGGGCTCCGAAATGATGTACAGCCCAGACCTCCAGCCTTGTCTTTCAGCATCAGCGGCCATGCTGGGGGATTGCCCCATGATTAACCACGTCCTCTCCACAGAGCACGTCAGTCTGGAGGCCTGAGTGGTTACAGATGCCACATATTAAACACAGAAGGATTCCCCCTGCTCCCTCAACCTCGCAGCACATTCACAACGTGCAGCAAGTCCGATTTCCTTTTGAAACATACTAAGTAACAACGCAGCTTTTACTTTGTTTTTATCTTTTTCCCCTGAGGTCCTGGATGGACTTTAACAAAGGAATTTTATGGTGAAAACCTCCCTTTTCCCACCCCAAACAGAAAACAAACATAACACCTCTCCTCTCAGCTGGTCTGTGCTGCCTGGAATCTGTGCTCCAGGGCTTGTTCTCGTGGGTTTTTCCTGGCACTTGGCTGGGGAATGGCCACCTCCTTGTGCCCCTCTCACAGCTCCTGAGGAGGCTGTTTTTTTTTTTCTTCTCATATAGATGGGTTCTCACTATGTTCCCCAGGCTGCTCTCCAATTCCTGGCTTCAGGCAATCCTCCTGCCTCCGCCTCCCAAAGCGCTGGTATTACAGTGAGAGCCACTGTCCTTGGCACTGAGGAGTCTCCTTACCTGGAGGAACATCAGGCAGGTCTTGCCAGGCCAGGTTGTGGAACTTGTGGAAAGCTGGTCTGGACGTAGTGCTTGTAGAGAAGCCGCTGGGAGATTGGGCACGTCCTGTTATGGTGCTGCTTCTCCCACCCTTAACTAGCAAGTTCTGAAGTGATAAATGCTAGAACTACTGTAGAACTGTATGCCAGAAACTAAAAGAGACTAATCAACATTCCAGGATATAAAGGAATGTATATTGTCACTGGGCAGCAAACCGCACCCTAAAGACAATTCAGAGAGCCAAGGGAGAGGAATATAGGCCAGGCATCCTGCTGACTGCTGATCCCTGCCCCTTTGTTAAGCTGAGTGAGTGTCTTCTGATTCTGTCTGTGTGCCTTTGTACCCAGGCCAGTCATCAAGGGGCAGGGCGTTGTTGTGTGTTAACCTTGAAGCCTTCTGGGGAGAGACAGAGCAGGGACCTCAAATGGAGCCAAAGGGGGAACGGGGACTGACATCCACCTCCCCAGTCTCGTTTTGTTTTGTTCTTATTTTTTTGAGATAGGGTCTTGAGCCCAGGCTGGCGTCAAACTCCTGGGCTCAAGTTATCCTCCCGCCTCAGCCTCCCCAGTAGTTCGGACTATATAGGTGCACACCACCACATCTGTCTCCCGATCTTAATTCCAGCCTAAATCTTCCCCATTCAGAAACAAACTCCTGGTGGCCCAGCCTGTCCCGACTGAGTGCCCAGCACTGACAGTGTTGGCACCTGGGGAGGGAGGCTTGGGTTTTAAGCTGAGGTTGAAAAGGAATGTTGAATAGGTCAAGGATAATGGCAGCAGGGTTGGTTATCTTTCTGGCTCAGGTGAGGAAAAAAGAATCCCCATTCCATGGGTGTTCCTTGACCATCTCTACCCTAGAGCTGAGGTCACTTCTCTGCTATGACAGCATAGCTGGGGTCTGACCTTTTGACTCTCAGGAAAGCAGTATGGGGAGCTGAGCTGAGCCTGCTCTGAGGGAAGAGGAGGGGGTCCTGTCCAGATGCAGAAGGGGAGCTTGCCTGCTGCTCTCACAATGGAGCCCTTGTTTCTCTTCATTGAACCAGTATTTCCCAAGATTGACAGCCCAGGAGAGGATGTGGGTCTCATGCAGAGATCTGGGGTCTTTTTGGCCATTAAAGTATAATGTTCACCCCAACCCAGCGGGAAGCAGGCTCAGGAGTTGCCTGCCTCTGCACATGTGGTGAGTGCACCGTTTATATGGGGACCGTCCCCATGGGGCATGTGTGAGCTCCGCTGCTGGGTCAGGCTCCTCAGTCCAGGTTTACTTCATCCTGCCTGGATGAGTTGCTTTGACTGTCTACTGCAGCCCAAAGCACTTCCTCCCCGTGGGTGCTGTAGCTGTCTCACTGGAGCAGTGGCCCTCCAAGTCTGAGGATTTGAACAAAGAACTGGGACTGGTGACCTGTTAATGAACAGTTCAGAGGGCACAGGCCATCCTCTCAGCCTGTAGAGACCTCGCTTTCCCTGGATGCTGCTTCTCATCTCAATCCCTCTCTCTTCATGTGTGTACTCAGCCCTCAGTTTCCACCGGATTTTTACACCTTCTTCCCACCATGATAGCTTGGCTTTCATGTGGAATTAAATTATATATTTTTAAAATTTATTTTCTGTTTCTTGCTCTAAAGGGTATCAGTGCATTGATGTTTTGTGTTTCTAGGAAGAGGTAATGTCGCGTTTTATTTATGGATGGTGCTTGGGGTGTCCCTCCAAGGGATGGTCTCAGGTTGGTGCTGGGCCAAGGCTGCTGACAGTTCAGGCGTGAACACAGTTGGGCTGGCCCAACCTCAGAACAGCTGCAGTTTCTGTTTAACACGAGAGCCCCTGTTTGTACCTGAGCCTGTCTGCCGGACAGTGGTTTACACAGGAGCTGGGTCTGGAAGCACCCACTCTGCCCCTCCCACCTCTTGTCACCTCTACTCGGTCATACTTCCTCCGCAGGTGTCACCATGTTGTCCGCTTTGCCGTTTCTATCCATACCCAAAAATCTCAGCCTCAGGACTCTGATCTCTCCCAGATTTGGGCAAGGAGAATCTAGGTGATTCCCACTCCCCCACTGCCCTGAAGATCTAGTCTCCACTGGCCAGAATCCAGGGCCTGCTCTAGCCTCTCCCTGTACCGTCTGGCCTGGGAGTCTTTCTCCTTTGGCCCATTCTCCAAACAACTGTCCCCAACCCCAGCAAAAGTAGCAACCTAGGAGCTGAGGTAGGATGGAGGACATGCAATTGGGGTCTATGTGGGGCAGCAGGGTCAGGGGAACAGTTAGGATCACAGAAACCAAAAACCAAAACTCTGCCTGAAGAAGTCCCAGCGGGGACAGCCTTGCAACTCAGTGGCCCACCTGCCCCACCTGCAGGGCCAGGGAGACTGCTGCAGGAAGCAGGCTCAAAGTGCACAAGGGACGCCTGTCCAGGTTATCAAGTACCCTGTCCATTATTTCTGGATCTTCACACAGTAATGCTGGGAAGGGGGAAGGGCAGGTATTATTAAGCCCATTTTTCAGAAGAGAAATAGGTGCCTTTTTTCAAATCCACATGGGGATTAAATGTCAGGGCCCGGCCCCAAACCAGTGAGCTCTGCTCCAAGGCCAGAGCTCTTTCCATCCCCAGGTCTATTTTCACAGACAGCAAAGAGGACACAGGATAACTAATGGGAGAAGTGGGGCTTTATTAAGGTCTGGCAGATGTGGTGGAGGTGGAAGTGGAAACTGGGCCTAGGAAAGGGCAGAAGAAAGGCAAAGGGCCCCTTGGAGCAGGAACCCATCCCTCTCTGCTTCCACCCAGCACCCCCCATCCCAGGTTCCTTTTCATCGACCTCCCTCTGCCTCCGGGAACACAGAGCACCAAGAACTGACAAGCTGGGACCCGCTTGGGGCAGAGTCCCCCGCAGTGGGAAGATCTGGGGATCTCAGAGAACCTCCTCTCCCTCTTGCCAGTTTAAGTTGGGAAGCGCCTTCTCTGTCCCCCAGAACAGAACAAACTCTTGTTCTCCGTGGTTGGGGAAAAGGTGTTGGGGGCTTGGACACAGGAAGCAGGACCTGGGCAGAAGCTGATTTGAATTCCCCCAGGGCCCAGGTGGAGCCCCCAGGGGAGTTTCTGAGACTCCACCTTTAGAGACTTGCCATTTCTCCACTTTTCCTTCCCCGTGGCTGGTGAGCAGCTCAGAGTCTGGGCCAGGGCAACTGTTAGGACAGTGGGGATCTGCCCAGAGTCATCTGTGGGTTTCAGATGAAGTTTCCCCAACACCAAATTCATCTATGTGTACACAGGGCAGCACCCACCTGTGGCAGGGGGAATAGCAGCTGGGGGCTAGTAAGAGTAGCCACCCTTGGGGCCAAACAGCTGGGCAGGGCCAGCGAGCTCTGGGAGGTACGCGGGGCTCTCGTCCAAGTGAGACAAAGGGACTGTGTCCTCCTCACTGACCGGCCGGTCAAACTCGGCCTTGAGAGCTGGACGCTGATTGTCCGGAAAGGCCAAAGAGAAGAGGGCCTCGGGCTCGCACACAAACTTGTACACGTAACGCTCTCCAGCCACCTATGGGGAGAGAGAAGGGCTGGTCAGCCTGGCTAGCCCCGAAGCCTTGGTATGGGGTAAGGCGGAGGAGAGGGGAATGCAGCCTTCTACCAGTCCAGGCAGATGCTCAGGGCATTTCTCTCCCATGCTGGCTCCCCTGAGAAGCTGACTCTCCCTTCACAGTTCTTACTCCTTTTTCATGTCAATTTCTCCCTGCTTGGGGCTTCTCAGTTCCAGTGTAGCACTTTTTTTGGGAGAGGAGATCCTTGGGATTTCTTGTCCCTCTGACTGATTCATTAACTGATCCTACAGAGTTCCTGAGAACTGCCCTTCTGAGCCTTTCCCCCATTAGCTTCCCACAGCCACTGCCCCCACCACCTTGTCCCTGGACCCATAGCCCCCACCTTCTGCATGATGCCTTTCTCATAGTAGTATCGGAGCGAGCGGCTCAGTTTGTCGTAATTCATGGCTGGCCGGTTCTTCTGGATGCCCCAGAGCCTGGCAACCTGGGGACAAAACAGTTTTGGGGTAGAGATGCTACCTTGGCAGAGGAAAAGAAATGGGGGAAAGGTCAGAAAGAGCACTTGAGAGTCTCGGTGCAAAATACTAAGCCAGCCCGGCAACAAAGCATCAGCCCATAAACTTAGGCTTGGCAAGAATTCCAGTCAGGTAAAGCAAGGATTGTGGTGGAGGCATGTGCCACCATTCCCCAGGTTCTCCCATCTCCAGGCCCTCAACTTTGGAAAGGAGGGCTGGGGGTATCTGAGAGGCCCACCTCCTCAGGCTCAATGAGCTTGAACTCCATTCCCCGGCCCGTCCAGGCAATGAAATGGGCATTTGTTGGGTCATCCAGCAGGGCCACCAGAAATTGCCACAGCTGCAGGGCACCCCGGCGCTGGTAGGGTGGCCCCTCTCGAAATGCACCAACCCCTTCCTGCTTGATGTCTCCTGGGGAACACAAAAATAGGAGGTGTGGGGTTTGGGTCTTTTGGTCCCCCAAGCAACTGCCTCCCCTTACCCCAGGGATTTCTCCAAGGGGTCTCCCCAGGCACTTTTCTGTGGGTCCCACCCTCTTGCAACCATGAAATGTGATGTGACTCCTGCGGGGATACAGCATGATAGGACTTTGACCCTCCCATGAACAGTCACTTCTCTGACCTTCAAATTTCTCAGGGACAACGCAGACATCATCTGGGAATGGTCGCAGGGTTTTCTCATAGCCATAGCCTTGTGGAGGAAGTTAGGGGTTACTCAGATTTGGGGGTTCACTGATGAAACCCCAGAGTCCAGAGGGACTGCTGGCCAGGGAGACCCTCCCCCATGGTGGCGCTCCCTCCCCCAACATGGAGGGCTTGGCAGGGGAAGGGGAACTGCCTTACCCATGGCCCCGTCACCTGGAGAGGGCCCGGAGAAGCCCTCTGTGTGGAGGTACATTGATGCACACCCAGTGAGATCTGTGGGAAAGAAAGGGGTATGTGAGTGGTGGCTAGGGTGGAGCTGGGGGGGAAGGGAGGAGGAAATCCTATCCACATTCAAGAATTTCTTCCTAGGCCGGCTCAGTGGTTCACACCTGTAATCCCAGCCCTTTGGGAGGCCAAGGTGGGTGGATCATGAGGTCAGGAGTTCAAGACCAGCCTGACCAACATGGTGAAACCCGTCTCTACTAAAAATACAAAAAAGTTAGCCAGGTGTGGTGGCGCTTGCCTGTAATCCCGGCTACTCAGGAGGCTGAGGCAGGAGAATTGCCTGAACCCGGGAGGCGACGGTGGTGAGCAGAGATCCCGCCATTGCACTCCAGCCTGGGTAACAGAATGAAACTTAAGTCTCAAAAAAAAAAAAGTTCTTCCTTCCAGCCTGCTTCCTGGTGACTATTCTTTGCCCAAGTTGCCTGCCAACCACAAAATCCCAGGGGAAGTTCACCCAGAGGGAGTGTGAAGCTGGAGCCCCTCAACTTGAGGGCTGGGGCAGAGGCTATGGAAGGCAGCAGCGGGGGCTGGGCAAGCTGTTCTGCAAGGCCCAAGCTGCCAGGGAGCAGCTGTTTCCTGTGGGTTCAGAGGGAGGAGGGAGGGTGAGATGAACGTCCGGGGAAAGGGTTCAGTGTCCACGCCTGAATCCCTCAGAATGGACACATGTCCGGTCAGCAGGTCAGATTCGCAGCCCCGTGCACACGTGTGTGTGTGTGTGTGTGTGTGTGAGACAAACTGAGAGTATGTGCCTGCATGCACTTGGGGAAGAGGCAGTGGGCACTGGGCCTTGTTTTTTCAGGTCTAACAGAGCACATTCCATTTCATTTCATTCCATTCCATAGGATAGGAACCTCCCCACTCCATACCGGGGAGGTGGCTGTGTGAAGCCACCAGTTCAAGTTCCAACCCCTTCCCGCCCTCCCCCCACTCCACTCCACTCCCACCTATGAATGAGAAGATGGTGAAACCCGACACCTCAGGGAGGAGGCGGGAGGGTGGGCTCATTCATGCATCCATTTTGTGAATGGAATTCCTGACTCCATTCAGGCGTAGCTGGGGGGAGGGGCAGGAGTTCAAGGGCATGTAACACGATCCTCCCCGGTCTACAGCCTTTGAAGGTCAGCGGCAAGAGTGCCTCCCTCCTCCTCTCCCAGCTCACTGCCAAGCCTGGGTCAGGCTTAGGCCCTGGATTTGAGGACAGGAGCGCCCATCCGGTTCTCAGCCGGACAGCCTGGGGGTTTGTGGCTCATCCCCCTGCCCCTGAAAGGTTGTGGGCACCACAAAAAGAGAAATTCTAAAGTTCTAGCTGGCTCTGGGCCTACTCTAATAAACTCAGATTTGGGGCTAGTAACAATGTAACAAAAGCTAGGCTGAAAGAAGAAAAGGCAGGGTTTTCTGGGCCCTTCCTGGGACTGGCCCTCCCTCAGCCCTTGTAACCTTGAACTATAGCTATTTATGAATCTAGCTGAGTGCATTTCACTCCAGTAAGCAGCCAGGTGGAACTAGAACTTAAATAAGTTCCTACTTCCAGTGCCCAGCCTCTGGCCAGGGCATACATACATCAACTGGGAGGCTCAAACAGGATGTGCAGACCACGTATTAACCTGCCAGCAGGATGAAACTCCATCTCTACTAAAAATGCGAAAATTAGCAGGCTGTGGTGATGGGCGCCTGTAATCCCAGCTACTTGAGAGGCTGAGGCATGAGAATCACTTGAACCCAGGTGGTGGAGGTTGCAGTGAGCTGAGATCGCACCACTGCACTACAGCCTGGGCGACAGAGGGAGACTGTCTCAAAACATGCAAACAAACAAAACACCTGTTGAGAACTAGCAAGAATGATGAGCCTGTCTAGGTTCAAGTTCACGTTTCTCTTCATTCAAATCCCTTTGTGTTTTTTAACTTCTGTGGGGACAGGGACCAGACACATCCTATTCATCTTTGTATTTGCCAACTCTGCACACTCACGTTCCTGTCACAGTAGTTTGGTCTTAGTGGGTAATTAAAACCTCAAACACCTGTTCAATAGAAATAAATGCCTTAACTTTCCTATTAAGTCACAAGCTACCTGAAGGCAGGATCTACATCCCCCTTTATTTTATTTTTATTTTACTTTTTTATAAATAGACAGGGGATCTCACTTTGTTGCCCAGGCTGGCCTTGAACTAACTTCTGGGCTCAAGCGATCCTCCCGCCATGGCCTCCTAAAGTGCTGGGATTACAGATAAATTACCATGGGGGAGGGTTGTTTATCTTTTAATCTGAACATAGGTTTGCTAATAGAAAAATAACAATAGGCTGGGCATAGTGGCTCACGCCTATAATCCCAGCACTTTGGGAGAGGCCCAGACCAGCAGATCACGAGATCAGGAGATCAAGACCATCCTGGCTAACATGGTGAAATCCCATCTTTACTAAAAATACAGAAAAATTAGCCAGGTGTGGTGGCATGCACCTGTAGCTACTCGGGAGGCTGAGACAGGAGAATCGCTTGAACCCAGAAGGTGGAGTTTGGTTGCAGTGAGCCAAGACCATGCCAGTGCACTCCAGCCTGGGCAATAGAGCTCTATCACAAAAAAAAAAAAAAAAGAAAGAAAAGTAACAATTTGGCTGGGTGAGGTGGCTCATGCCTGTAATCTCAGCACTTTGGAAGGCTGAAGTGGGCAGATCACATGAGGTCAGGAGTTCGAGACCAGACAGGCCAATATGGTGAAACCTTGTCTCTATTAAAAACACAAAATTAGCCGGTCATGGTTGCTGGTGCCTGTAATCCCAGCTACTCGGGAGGCGGAGGCACAAGAATCGCTTGAACCTGGGAGGCAGAGGTTTCGGTGAGCAGAGATGGCACCATTGCATCCCAGCCTGGGCCCCAGAATGAGACTTACGTCTCAAAAAAAAAAAAGAAAAATGATAATTATTTTGAAATTATGAAAAAAAAAGGGGGTGGGTGGGTTGGATGTAAGAAATGATAAACAGGGATGTAAAAGGCTCAGGAGACATTCTGGCCTCAACGGAACTCTTCACGTGATCACATGCCACCCTGCTGCACCCCAGTCTCTCACCTGAGTCGTAGGCGAAGTCCGTCTGCTCCTGTTTGATCACCACCCCCGCCCCTGGGTACCTGTGCCCGTTGACCCCACCCTGGTCCACCGTCGGCTGGCCCGCCTGTTCATACAGGGGGTCATGGTATTCTTGCTTGAAGCTCTGCTGGGGATAGGGTGGGCAGGGCTCCGACAGCTGGTGTTGGTAGGGGGCTGGGAGGTGTTCCCGGCCCCCTCCCTGAGATGTGAAGTTGTGGCAAATGTCCAGGGGCTGCTGGAAGACGGAGCTGGATGTGGTTGGATGGAGAAGGAGGAGAATAGAGCTTTAATCCCTCCTCCAGCCTGTTACTCCCAGGCTTACAGAGTGGGCTCTGGAGTGGGGTCTAGAGGGTTGGAGTGTCAGTATCTCTCCCTCTCTACTCTGCCGACCCCCCACCCCCACCGCCCCGAAGCTTAAGTCTTTATGGAGAACACTCAGGAACTGAAGAAAAACTGTTTGAGACCTGGGCCCACAAGCAGTGGGGTTTCCCTGTCTCCTTACCTATGTTCCCCAAGGTACCCATGGCCAGGGTGGGGCTGGGAGGTGCCAGAGGATCTCAGGAAATTCCGTTGCTCTGCCCGGGGAAAGGGCTGCAGGGGCGACTGTCCAAGGGCACCAGGGGCAGGGGACTTGATGGCAATTTGTCTGGGGGGGTCATAGGCACTGGAGTTGAGAAGGAGACAGGGGTGAGGGAGTAGAGAAGCCAGCAAGCATCTCTGAACCCTTCATTCCTAGGAAAGTGAGGTCACCAGGATTATGGGAGAAGGACGGATAGAGGGGGCTGAGAAGGGAACCACAGAAGCCACAGACAGCCCTAGCGAATTCTTTTCTTTTTTCAGAGACAGTCTCCCCCTATTGCCCAGGCTGGTCGAACACCTGGGATTCGTTGCTCAGAGCAGTGGTTTGGGTGGGACAGTGGGCCTCGTGGTGGAAACAGACTCTGCTCTGGCTTCCGGATGTATTCCTGAGGCCCTCTGCTGCATCTTCCGTCTGATTGTTTGGAGGAAATCCTTAGCTGTATTGCTTCCTTAGAGGAGCTGGAAAATCCTTTGTCTAACTTGCTTCTCAGCTGCTGCCTCTGCCCCTGCCTCCCTTCTCCGGACACCCTTCCCCTACCCTTTACCGGGTCCGGCTGCGGCTCACCTGGAGTAAAGGCACTGCTGGCCATGGTGGTAGGGGAGTGGCGGCTTCCTGCTGCAGGACAGGGCCGGGTCTGTTCGGGGACTCTGGGGCTCCTTCTTGATCCTGGTGGTGGGGCTGTGAAAAGCTACTGCGGGGGTGAGGGGGTAGAGGGGGCAGAGCAAGGCCGGAGCCTGTCACACAAGAGGCAGGCAGGGCGTCTGACACCTTCCGTGCTTTGAGGACCAGCTGGGTGACTGCAACAGCTTCCTGCCCTCTCTGGGTATCAGTTTTCCCTGATCCAAGGTGAGACACTTAAGAACATTTTGGCTATTTACATTATATCTAGTTTATATATCAGACTAGTGTCTGATTATTAACCAAATAAATCCTCTAAAGTTCAACATTTAGGCTGGGTGCAGTGCTTACACCTGTAATCCCAGCACTTTGGGAGGCCAAGGAGGGCAGATCACTTGAGGTCAGGAGTTCAAGACTGGCCTGGCCAACATGGTACAACCTGTCTCTACTAAAAATAAAAATAAAAAAAACTAACTGGCTTAGTGGCTCACGCCTGTAATCCCAGCACTTTGGGAAACCGAGGCGGGCAGATCACCTGAGGTCAGGAGTTTGAGACCAGCCTGATCAACATGGAGAAACCCCGTCTCTACTAAAAAGACAAAATGCCAGGCATGGTGGCACGTGCCTGTAATCCCAGCTATTCAAGAGGCTGAGGCAGGAGAGTCACCTGAACCTGGGAGGCAGAGCTTGCGGTAGACTGAGATCGCGCCATTGCATTCCAGCCTAGGCAACAAGAGTGAAACTCCGTCTGAAAATAAAAAAGAAAAATTAGCCGGGCATGGTGGTGGGTACCTGTAGTCCCAGCTACTCAGGAGGCTGCGAAAAGGGAATTGCTTGCTTCAAGGGAATCTCTGCCAGGAGGCAGAAATTGCAGTGAGCCAAGATCACACCACTGCACTCCACCCTGGGCGACAGAGCAAGACTCTGTCTCAAAAAAAAAAAAAAAAAATTAATGCAACCCCAGGCCCCAGAAAACACTTTCATAGGAGTGAGCACCTCCAACCTAGGGCCTGTAGTTTTCCTCAGTGCCCTGGAAAATTCCAAGGGTGCGACATGTTTTCTTATTTGAGGATATAAAGAATCTTTCTTTTTCTGGTTGAGGTTGGATATTGGCCCACTTGAATGTCAGCTGAATAACATTATCTGTGAAGAACATTGGCCTTTCCTGTGGCCCCTGCTGGGTTCCCAAACTCTAGCCACAAGGTTCCAAGCCAGTGTGAGTGAGATTCAGTTTTAACTGCAGTCCAGTCAAATGCCCTATTTGTAACCAACTATTCTCTGCTGTTTTCGATTTTTTGTGCCCTGTTCTGTTTCACTGGTGTAGACAATTGACAGCAATGTATCTGACATTAAAGTGGGCTTTCTTTTTTTTGTTTGTTTGTTTTGAGTTAGGGTGTCGCTCTACTGCCCAGGCTGGAGTGCAGTAGCACAGTCTCAGCTCACTGCAACCTCTGCCTCCCGGGTTCAAGCAATTCTCCTGCCTCAGCCTCCTGAGTAGCTGGGATTACAGGCGCCCACCACCACGACCAGCTAATTTTTGTATTTTTAGTAGAGATGGAGTTTTGCCATGTCGGTCAGGCTGGTCTCAAACTCCTGACCTTGTGATCCGCCTGCCTTGGCATCCCAAAGTGCTGGGATTACAGGCGTGAGCCACTGTGCCCAGCCTATAGCAGGGTTTCTCAACAGTGGCACTATTGACATGTGGGCTGCCAGACAGTGTTTTATGAATATATTGTGGGGAGCCGTCCTGAGTTTCATAGGGTGCTTTCGGCAGTATCCCTGACTCTACCCACTAGACGCCAATAGCACCCCACCCTCAACAGTGACAACCAAAAATGTCTACAGATATGACCAAACGTCTTCTGGGGAGCAAAATCGTGAAAGTGACTCAGAACACTAGAACTGGACTCTGCTGAACTGGCCCAGGCCCCTCACTTCAGATCTAAGGCAGTGGAGGATCAAACGGATAGTGTCTGCTGGAGGGTCACACAGCAAGAACACGGCCGGCCCCGGGTTTCAACCAAGGTTTTCATTCCAGTTACTGCCTTGGTCTTTGAGATCAAACCCAAGAATGGGGAGCCCTGACCTTTACCCCCACTGTTTTCAGGAGAGAACAGCTGATCTGTGATTCTCTATCCTATGACTCACTTCCTGCCACCCCCCACCACTTCCGCCCTCTCCCCAGGGACCTCTACTCACAGTTTTCTGAATGGAAATCAGGAACAAACTGCTCATCACTGTCTGGTACCTGAGCTGCAGAGAGAGATCAGAGGTAAGTTTGGGGTGGGGCCCTGGTGGGCTCCTGGGAGGCTCCATTATTGCAGCCCTGCAGATTAGCAACAGTCAAGAGAGAACCAACAGCCTTTAGACTGGGGTGTCCACATTTTAAGAATTGTCTTCGGCCACACATAAAATACACAAATACACTAACACTAACGATATCTGATGAACTTAAAAAAAAATCACAAACAAATCTTATAATGTTTTAAGAAAGTTTATGAGGAATTGGTGTTGGGCCTGGGCTGCATTCAAAGCCACCCTGTGCTGCGTGTGGCCTGCAGGCCCACGTGTTGGACAAGCTTGCTTAAAACTAAAGGTAGCTCCACCTAGGTCCTAGTGCCCTCTAGCTCTGGGCTCCACTAAGACTCAGGAGGGAAGACTGTTCCCAGAACCTGCAGGAGCAGATTCCAGTCTTTCTTTTTCTAGATGCTTTGTCTTCATTTCCTCCATTTTTCTGAAGTGGAACAGCCTTGCCTGTCAAAGTTTACAAAACTCCCTCAAAGCTCACAGCAGTCATATCTGGGATGGGCAGACAGTGGGATCCTGTGGATTTAAAATCACATAGGAGGTGGGCGGGTGCTATGGCTCATGCCTATAATCCCAGCACTTTGGGAGGCCGAGGCAGGTGGATCACCTGAGGTCCGGAGTTCGAGACCAGCCTGGCCAACCTGGTGAAACCCTGCCTCTGCTGAAAATACAAAAATTGGCTGGGCGTGGTAGCTGGCATTTATAATCTCAGCTACTCAGGAGGCTGAGACAGGGGAATTGCTTGAACCCGGGAGGCGGAAGTTGCAATGAGCTGAGATGGCGCCACTGCACGCCAGCCTGGGCAACAAGAGTGAAACTGTTTCTCAAAAGAAAAATTAAATAAAATAAATAAAATCACATGGGAGGTGACTGGGTGCGGTGGCTCACACCTGTAACCCCAGCACTTTGGGAGGCTGAGGCAGGAGGATCACTTGAGGTCAGAAGTTCAAGACCAGCCCGGCTAACAAGGCGTAACCCCCTCCCCGTCTCTACTAAAAAATACAAAAATTAGCCAGGCATGGTGGTGGGCACCTGTAATCCCAGCTACTCGGGAGGCTGAGGCAGAAGAATCACTTGAACCTGGGAGGCGGGGGTTGCAGTGAGCCGAGATCACACCACTGCACTCCAGCCTAGTGACAGAGTGAGACTCCCTCTTAAAAAAAAACAAAATTTAATAAAATAAAAAGTAAATATATAAGTTAAAGTCACATGGGGGAGGTTCTGAGTCTGGGCTGGACCCAGGAATCTGCATTTTAAACATCCTTCCAGGTGGTTTTGAGATGTACAAGAGTTCTGAGGCTGGGTACAGTGGCTCACTTCTGTATTTCCAGCACTTTGGGAGGCCAAAGTGGGGAGATCGCTTGAGTCCAGCAGTTTGAGACCAGCCTGGGCAGTGCAGTGAGTCCTTGTCTCTACAAAAAAATTAAAATAGCTGGTATGACAGCATGTGCCTGTAGTCCCAGCTCTTCAGGAGGCTGAGGTGGGAGGATTACTTGAGCCCTTTAGGAGGCAGAAGTTGCAGTGAGCCAAGATCATGCCACTGCACTCCAGACTGGGCAACAGAGCTTGCTCTCCCTATCTCCAAAAAAAAAAAAAAATTCCTGAGCCAGGGAAAGGAGATGGAATGGAGGCAAGAAGGAGGTTTGACAGAGGGGAAAAGTTTGATGGATATGGTAGATCAGCTACTTGGGAGGCTGGGGTGGGAGGATACTTGAGCCGAGGAGTTCAAGTTCAGCCTGGACAACATAGCAAGACCTTGTGTCAAAAATAAAAATAGGGCCTGGTGCGGTGGCTCACGCCTGTAATCCCAGCACTTTGGGAGGCAGAGGTGGGTGGATCACCTGAGGTCAGGAGTTTGAGACCAGCCTGACCAACATGGTGAAACCCTGTCTCTACTAAAAATGCAAAAATTAGCTGGGTTTAGTGGCACATGCCTGTAATCCCAGCTACTCAAGAGGCTGAGGCAGGAGAATTGCTTGAAACCGGGAGGCGGAGATTGCAGTAAGCCGGTATCACGCCATTGCACTCCAGCCTGGGTGACAGAGCAAGACTCCATCTCAAAAATAATAAAATGAAACAAAATAGAAAAGGAGGATGACAGTGGGAGAGCAGGAGGCTGGTGACTGGGACCACTGCAGAAGGCAAAGGACACTGGCTGAGCACCTAGGTGCCTCATCCCTTTAATATGCAGCTGAGGGGAGGGATTCCCAAGGTTGGAGATCTGAGGAGCTCTCCCAGGATGCCAGAATGGGTGGAGCTAGGTTTAGGAATAGGCAGGAAAACTGAAATGCAGCAGCAGCTCATCCAAGGCTTCTAACTGGGACAGCAAACTCTGATTTCTAGTTCTTATCCTGGCCTCCCCAGAGGGGAGCTTCCCAGGTGGTTATACAGCTAAGCATCTCCCTTGATCCCAGCCTTTGCCCACTTTTGCCCCGCTCTCAAAAATAAAGGGATCACATCAGGAAGTGTAGACACCAAGAACTTCCTGACATTCCAGAGAGTGGTTCTAGGTGATGAGGTGGAACCTGTAGCCCGACGAGGCTGGACTCTCCTTCCCTGGAGACTACTCTCAGATTGGACAATGGGGAAACTGATAAAATGCCCAGAGAGGTCAGAATGGCTGGTGAGGGGGATAGGATGGCTAGAGAAAACCTCCACACACACCCCGCCTACACAAATACGCATCCCATCCCTTCGGCTTCCCTCTAGGCTATTGGATTTCAGCCACAGCCTCTTATGAGAATACCCTACTCTTACCTCCTATAGTCCCTTGCTCTCCACCTAGCTGCCAAGGTGACCTTTTACAACAAAAACGGAATCATTTCTCTTTTATTTAAAGCATGAAATCCAAATGCTTGCCCTTGGCTTCCAAGGCTCTGCATGACTGGGCCTTGCCTGCCTCTGACCCGCCTCTCCTTGCCTGAGTCGGCAGCACTCTGATCTCCTTCCTAGCCTCAAACCTGCTGAGCTTGTTCCTTCTTCCTCAGATACTTTCCTGCCTTCCTCTTTGTTTCCTGGTCATCAGAGTCTCAGCTTACTTTGACATCTCTGCAGAGGCCTTCTCTGACCGCCTCTAAACCAAAGTGGTTCCTCCTGGCTCTCTATTGAGCCTCTGTTTTGTTTTCTACCTGGCACATACTGTCACCTGAACTTATTATGTTTACCCGTTTATTATCTATCTGTCTGTCTATCTATCAATCGATTTATCTATCATCTATCTCCTCCACCAGGAAGTTAAGTTCTATGAGGGCAAGAGATTTATCTCTGGTCATCTGATTCTCCAACACCCAGCACAGGTCAGAGTAGACAGCATGTTAGAGTAGACACTCACTGCATTATTTCTTTCTTTTATTTTTTGAGACAGAGTTTCGCTGTTGTTACCCAGGCTAGAGTGCAATGGCACGATCTCGGCTCACCGCAACCTCTGCCTCATGGGTTCAAGCAATTCTCCTGTCTCCGCCTCCCGAGTAGCTGGGACTAGCAGGCGCGCGCCACCATGCCCAGCTAATTTTTGTATTTTTAGTAGAGACCGGGTTTCACCATGTTGACCAGATAGTCTCGATCTCTTGACCTTGTGATCCACCCGCCTCGGCCTCCCAAAGTCCTGGGATTATAGGCGTGAGCCGCCGCACCTGGCTGGCTGCATTATTTCCTGAGTGTGTGAATAAACAGGCAATAATCGTTTGTCCTCAGGCTGGGAGGAGTCAGCACTGTGGGCTTGGGGACATGCACTGAAGAGATCCTGACCAGCCTATCCCTTCCCTGCAGGCTCCCCCTCTCCACACACAAGGCAACACTAGAGAGGGGCAGGTCCTCTCTGGGAAAGCACATCTCACAGGGGATACTTTAGGTTGTGATACGTTGCTTGGCAAGAATATTCTTCAACAACTTGCTTTAAATATTAGAGGTGTCAAGTGTTTATAAACATAGGCTTGTATTAATAGTTTATTTCTTGACAGAAGGATTAGGGAGAGGGAGTTTAAGAATTGGGAGCCACCAGCAGCTAGAGAAGTGAGGAAGAGTCAACATAATAATACTTTGGTCTAAAGTGCCCAAAGAAATCAATAAGACCTGAAATCCAGTGGCAAGAACAAACAGAAACACACAGGTGGCACCCATCTTTTCAGGAACACAAGCATGGCAAAAAGTCAGCCATTCCCAAACTGGCCTAATTCAAGTCACCAGAGCATAGTTAAAAACACGATTCCGGCAGGGCGTGGTGGCTCAAGCCTGTAACCACAGCATTTTGAGAGGCCAAGGCGGGCAGATTATCCAAGGTCTGGAGTTCCTGGCCAGCGTGCCAAAACTGCATCTCTGCTAAAAATATAAAAATTAGCCAGGCGAGGTGGCACATGCCTGTAATCCCAGCTACTCGGGAGGCTGAGATAGGAGAATCACTTGACCCGGGAGGCAGAGGTTGCAGTGAGCCAAGATCATGCCACTGCACTCCAGCCTGGGCAACAAAGTGAGACCCTGTCTCAAAAAATAATAATAGGGCCGGGCACGGTGTCTCATGCCTGTAATCCCAGCACTTTAGGAGGCTGAGGTGGGCGGATCTCGAGGTCAGGAGATCGAGACCATCCTGACCAACATGATGAAACCCCGTCTCTACTTAAAAATACAAAAAATTAGCTGGGCATGGTGGCGCGTGCCTGTAATCCCAGCTACTCAGGAGGCTGAGGCAGGAGAATTGCCTGAACCCAGGAAGCGGAGGTTGCGGTGAGCCGAGATCGTGCCATTGCACTCCAGCCTGGGTAACAAGAGCGAAATTCCATCTCAAAAAAAAAAAAATCTGTCTATTATGAGAAGTCTCCTCTGTCACTCAGGCTGGAGTGCAGTGGCACAATCATAGCTCACTGCAGCCTCGAGGTTCTGGGCTCAAGTAATCCTCCCACTTCAGCCACCACAACCTTAAAAATAGGCACATTTGGATAGAGGGTAGGAGGCCAAATCTGTCTACCTGCCCAAGATGCAAAGCCCAGGCTCATTCCCGCTGTGCCCTCTGGTCCGTTCAGAGGCAACATCCCCCAAGGTGGCAGGCAGTGAGAGTGACAGAGTGACCAACATTTCCCTCCCTCCTACTAGGCAAGAAAGGTCCCAAGGGAAAGGGTGGTGCAGAACTCAGGGGTGGCTGACGCACTCCAGGGCTCCCCCCCCCCCCGGGATTCATTAACTGCCACTTTCCATTGAGGTAATGGGCTGGGGGTATCTCTTGCTGGCGTCACTGGCGCTGGAGAGCAGAGAGCACTTGGCATCATCTTGCCTTTCTTCCTGCCTCGTGCCTGACAGTTTAACCAGAGACCCCTCTGGCCCAGCAGTCCAGGAGGAGGCCTCCTCAAGCACATAGACCACACCCCAAAAGAGGTGGCACCATCCTCTTCCCAGAGCCAGGAGAAATCTGTCCTTGCTCAGCCCCTCCCCCAAACACTGACCTTCTCCCAAAGTGGGTAGGGTAGGGCCCTCAGTCATCCAGAGACTGTCAACAGGATAGAAATAGGAACACTGAGCCTCGCGTTCCTGGAGAGCAGGAGAATTTTTAATTACCATGTTTGGTCTTGAGTGTACACTGCTCTCTTTATGTATTCGTTAACTTGGCTGAGTTTTGGCTGCCAAGCCACAGTGTGCCAGAGTCTGTCCCCAGCTCCATCCTGGCACTAAGATGGAGTTTATCTGTCTGAAGACGAGGCAGATGATTAAGGACGGGGTGGGAAAAGTGCCAAGACAGCATAATGCCCAGAGAGAGAGAATTTTAGGGACTCTCCTGTCAAAATGGGGGTCAGTTAAAAAAAGAGGAGGGGTTCTGGGGCCTCCCAAGCTGGATTCTGGAAGAATTGGGAGGTTAAAACAGAGACAAACTGAAGCCTACCATTCGTTAGCCACCCACACCATATATACCCCGTCACCCTCTTCCCAGGGTCCAGTCATAGTGTGAAGGGGATAGACGCATTCTCCAGAGGTTCTGCTCCATTGTGTCACTGCTGTCCCTTACCCTGCCCCCACCCTGGCAGCATCTGTACTGGAAGGAACCAGTTGTCTAGTTGTGGAGGGGACATATTTGTCTCCAGGAGTCTTCTGGAAGGGGAAGAGACAGAAAGAGGGAGAAGGAGGCATTGTAGCTGGTAAAGACTCGGGAGGGGATTTCTCTCCCCACAGACATGCCGAGGCACTAGTGTACATGCACATGGACATGCATTCAGGGATGCACACACCCTAATTCCTTTCACTTCACTCTTGCGGCAGCACGACAGCACAGGGTGAAATGTGCCCTCCATGCACACTCTCTATGCACACCCTCCGCACATGGGATCTTTTTTTGGAGCTACAAATATGACTGGGAAAGCCAAAGGGCAAGGGGATTGGAGCCCTTGGAAGAGGGTTGGGGAGTGGCAATTCCTGTGAAAAAGGGAGTGCAGATTGATCCCTTCGAGAATCTGATAAAAGCTACGGGTCATTCTCTTCCTAAAAAAATCCATACACTTTTGTGTATGGTGCACTTCCAGCAATTTTACACACAGTATCAGAGGGATCAAGGGTCCCTGCAACCCATCCCCAGGGCTCTGGCAATCCACAGACCCCAGCCTCATACAAAGGAGTCATGGCCTAGAGTCAATGGCTCTTACTACCAAATAGACAACAAAGTCATTGTCCCCAAGGTTTCAGGGCTCCTGACAAGCCTGGAAAGGAACCTTCACCAGAAACCAGCACATCTTTTATCATAGCCAGACACATTTTGGGCTCAGCCTGCCTGAGCCTGGGTCTCCCTGTAGCAGCCTGATTCTTTCCCCAACATCTCAACAGATCCGAGGCACCCCCAAATCAGACACACCCTCCTAGCTTCATTCCCCTCTGTCTACAAAAACCCAACCCCAAATATATGAGCTGCCTCCATAAAGCCCCACTTACACTCACCCTTCAATGCCGGACACAGGACACCGAACCGGCACCGAAACGGAATCTCCCTATACTGGCCCGGCTCCAACCTGTGCATCCTCCAAATGCTGTCTTCGAAGTGCCCCCCATACTACCAGGACCCCCTTGCTGCTTCTCTCCAAATTGGGGCTTTGGAAGAAACCAAGCTGAGAGAGGGAGATTGGGCTCTGGTCCCCATTCCTCCTAATGTGTCCCACCACTGGCAAGTTTCCAAAGGAGCTAGTCCCTCCCTGCCACCCCAAAGCTCCCCCCAGGTTGCTGGGGTCACTGACCTGGTGGGAAGAGACAGGAGAGGAGGCTGGGGTGGTGCTGGGATGGTGCAGGGGGACAGGGCCCCGGCAGCTGCATCTGTCTCCGCAGAGAAAATGAGGAGCGATCGACCTCAGCATCCCCCTCTCAGGCCTGGCCATCCATCGCCAGCTGGGAACCTGAGCTGCTCCCTCAGAAGGAAGGAGAGGGAACCAAGGAGATCCCAGTGTCCACACCCCCTCCTCCTTGCAATCCCCACCCCCACCTCCCCACCCACTGGATTTAAATGTACAGGACAGCAGCATGTAACTAACACACACACATACACACACACATGCACATGCATACTCTTTCTCTCACATACTCACACACTTGCTATCTTACTGACACTGAAAGACAGACATGCGTACCCTCTCCAGACCCCCCGCCAAGGGGTAGAGCGCTTTTTCCTCCCCCTCCCATCTCAAACCCGGGCACAGATGGACCAGCTGCTGCCGAAATGCCAACCTCAGCCCACCCCTAGCTCACAGCCCCAGGAGCTGCCCACTGTGGGTACTCTCAGCTGACAGGCAAGGAATGAAGCCGGTGAGCCAGACAGAAATCAGGCGCTGGGAAAGGAAGTCTTTGAGAGCCCATGGAAACTGACACCTCTGCGTTCTTCAGCTCCAGCCCAGCTCCGGAACCTCAGGAGGAGGATGGGGAGATGGGGCAAAGCTCTGCCTGTAAATTGGAGCTGGGCATGCAGGACTTGCAAGGTCGGGAAGACGCACACAATACCCCCATATCCCTCCAGCACTCACACTGCCATTCAGCCATTAATTCCGCAAAATGTCTTGAGTGCTTGCTCTATGCTAAATAGTCATTCTGTCAACATATATATTTTTAGAATACCGTAGTGGGCAGGACAGACCTAGTCTCACTCCAAGGATCTAGTCAAGAGTCATTTTCCTTTTACTCTAAGCTTCTACAGAGAGTTCCAGGGCAGTTGGATTTGAGCTTTGAAAAAAAATTACCAAAGAAAGATGCCAGGGTGGAGGGATAAGGAGATCCTAAGGAAAAGACCTCAAAAAGGAGTTCTTAGTGTTTTGGCTTCTTCGTTTTCATAGCATTAAAATAAAGGAACCCTAAGATGGGGCTAGTAACCCTTTGCTCTCAGAGGCTGTCTAAACCACCATTTTCCCTCCCACCTGCAGCCCCACCAGCGACACCCTCAGGCCCCACCAAAACGCACGGATGAATCCAACCAGGAAACCTCTCAAACACACCACTTCCCCAGCAGGCCCAGCCACGGACCCCACCCCAGCCAGCTCACCGCTAACTCCCCAGCACACAGGAAGGGGAATTTGCCTGGGGGCGGAGGTATTCAAGCAGGATGGAGGAGGGAGGAACACTTGCTATTAGAATTACAATCAAGGCTATTTGGGGAGCCCTGGGCCCCTCTGTGCCGAAGGGCTGCCGAAAATAATTATTTAAACTTGTTGTGCTTTTGGCATGCACAGTAAATTGTTTGGTGCTGGGATTGGGAAGAAGAGAACCTCAGGGGATAAGAATCAATGCTATGACAACTCCGGAGGATAGGTGACAAATTAATTGTTCCCCCCCACACACACAATGACACCCCAACAAGCACCTTGGCCTGGTGGCTTCTGCAAAACAAACTTTGCAAATGAAAATTTCAACCAGGAAAATGGGCCTGGGGCCAAGTTCCATTCAAATAAGCAAATACCCCACACAATGGTCTGATTCATCCCCAAGCCTAGTTACACAAGCCTGGCTCAGAATAGAGAAAATAAATATCAATATAATGTCCACACCGGGCTCTGCGGTGAGTAGAGTGGCAAGGAACCTGGTCAGAGAGGGCCTTGGAGGCAGGGAAGGGAGAGGAGAAGTGTAGGGCTAGGGTGGAACAACAGGGGCTACATAGAGTGTCCCCCTCTCCAGATCCCCAGAATAGAAAAGGTCACAAAACTACTCACCTTCAGCGAGCCACGTCTCCTGGAAGTGACTTAGATCCTGGAAGAGATCTGAGGGGTAAATAGTGGAATTGGAGGTGAGGTGGAGGGGACAGTAAGAGAGAAGGAGCCCTAGCAAGCCCCGGTGAACCCCCCTCCCGCGCCCCGCCTCGGGAGTAGGGACCAAGAAGAATGACCAGATTCCCTTGGAGGGCTAGTTTTTTGGGGGTTCCAGGATCGGCCGGTGTGTGTGTGTGTGTGTGTGTGTGTGTGTGTGTGTGGCGGAGGACGGTCGCGGTTTGTGTGTCTTGCTCTTTACCTTCGGAGTCGGAGGGCGGCAGGGAGCCCGGGTCCATGAGCTTCCCCTGCGGGACCATCAGCGCTTCGCGCAGGCTCCCATTTCCGGGCGATTTCTGCGAGAAGGGGGAGAATGCCTCCAAGTCACCCCGAGGCGCCTAGTCTGGGGGACGAGGTTGGGGTCCCCGGGTGGCTCAGGGGCGGGGCAGCCCAGGACTCCTCTGGGACGGCGGGGAGGGGGGCTGTGGTGAGAGTAGGGGCTGGGTGCGGGGCGGGGCGGGCGTGGAGGCCGGCGCGGCGCTCACGCTGCTGAAGGTGTAGGGCACTTGCTGGTCCAAGTATCCGCCTTTCATCCTCCGCTCCATCCGGCCGCTCCCTCAGGCCGCACGGCCGGGGCCCCTAGTGGGGGCCGAGACCTGGGGGGGAGGGGACTGCGTTCGCACACCGTCCAGGGAGGGCTGCGATGGGGGCGGGGAGGAGTGGCGGGAGGGGGCAGTCCCGAGGCTCTGAGTCCGACAGTGAAACTTCTCCGACTCACTGGGGCGATGGGGAGGTTTCCGTCTGCCAGGCCGAGCGCCACCACCACTCCCCTCCCGCCAAAGGCCAAAGGAGGTCCCACCTGCTTCTGGGAGCGGGGCTCGCCGTTTCTGCTTTCTGCAGCCCTGCTCTACCCGGGCTCGGTTACATAAGACGTACGTGTGTGTGTGTGTGTGTGTGTGTGCGCGCGCGCGCGCGCGGAGGAGCAGGCGAGGCGCACACCGTCGCATGCCCACAACTCCCGCGCCCCCTCCAACCCTGAATCCCAGTGCCTCCTACCCCCGCCCTGGAATCTGCGGAGGCGGGCGGTGACACTGAGTGTGGTGTGCGTGGGAGGGGAGGCGGGGAATCACACTCTCCCTCCCTCCCTCTCCCTCCCGCAGCCTCACCTGAGGCCGGGGCGTCTGGGCTGGAGCCGTGCAGGGTTCCGAGCATGCCCTGGGGCCGGCACCGAGGGCCGCGGGGCTAGGCCGGAGCAAGGCGGCCCCGATCCCGGGTCCCCCGCGCACCGACTTGTTTTTCGGGCGCCGCAGACAGTTGTGAGCCCGGGGGAGCAGCTGATTGGTGCATTTCCTTTGCTCGGCCTCGGCTCTCTCTCCCCCCAACCCGGTTCCCTTTGTTTCATTGACTTTTGTGAATGGAACCCCAGGGCTGGGCACGCCCGCCAATCCGGAGAGTCGCCCGGCCTAGCCAGGGGGCGGAGTTTCCCAGCCGCAGGGGCCAATCAGAATGTAGGGGTTGGCTCCCGGCTTCATTCACTGCTCCGGCTCCCATTCATAAAAAAATAAACTCGCGGCCGGAGTTCATTCATAAAGAACCGAGAGAGAAGGAGAGAAGCCGAGGACCCCGTGGCTTCTCCACGGTCTCCGCCACAGCCTTGGGTCTGAGGCGCCGCGCACTCCGGCTGGCGTCTGCACACGTCCCTGCATCTGCGTGTACGTGGGAGTATGAACATGTCTGTGTGCGCCCAGGGGAGAGGCGACCGAGCTTGTGTGCCCAGAGGAACAATAATAACTAGCATTTATGAAGCGCTCCGCTCCCACGTGCTCATTTCGTTCCCATAACCCGACGAAGTGGATCGTTGGTATCTTACAGATACTAAAAATGAAAGCTCAGAAAGAGATGGTAACTCGCCTGAGGTAACTCAGCTAGTCAGCACTTCGTGTGTTTAGTGCCTCAGATCCATCACACTCTCCTGTAGAGCCCTCTGAAGCCATGATTAAATGAGTTAAGCTATGTGACAACTGATACATAGTAGGTGATCAATAAGTGTAAACTGCCACAGAATCCAGGCTTGTCCTCAAAGGTCTGTTCTCTGCAGATCTGTTTTGTGACCCACTTTCTATTGATTGCAGCAAGAACTAGTGGCCCCAGGGTAGATGATTTCTGAAAGTGTAGCTCCCTCTCAGCCATCTTCCCTCTTAACTGACAGCAGCAAAAGGAGCAGGAGCAAAAGCCCCAAAGGGGACAGGATGGTTTTCAGTTTTGGCTCAGAAGCCGGTGGAAGTTTCTGTCATCTCATCCATTCACCACTTCTTTCAATAAACATTTATTGTGTCAGATTCAGTGCTGGGTGCCAGGAAAGCAGCTATGAACAAGACAGACAACTGAGGGGAGCTGGGCTGTTAGGGCTGTGGCCATAGGGACACACAGGACATGAATCCTCAAAGGCCTCTTTTGTGAGACAATTCTCTGTCTCTTCAGCCTATGTACTCCTTTGAGGACAGCCTGATTTTGTGTCCTGCCTGTTTGTGATAAACACAAAATAATGTTCAAACACCAGGCCAGTAGGAGTAGCTTCCCAAATTCATCTAACCTAACACCCACCACTTTACAGATGAGGCAGTGGAGTTTCAGAGAAGGAAATGACACATGTAAGCATCTTTGTGCCTATCTAGCCAGAAATGGGGCTAAAACATAAAATTGTTGTTTAGGGCTCATTCCATGAGATCACCTTGGGCAAATGAAAATAAACTTCCCTTTCTTCTCTGCTGTAATATTCTTTTTTTTTTTTTTTTTTTTAGACGAAGATTTGGTCTTTTGATCTCAGCTCACTTCAACCTCCCCTCCCGGGTTCAAGCAATTCTCCTGCCTCAGCGTCCCAGTTAGCCACTATGCCCAGCTAATTTTGTATTTTTCAGTAGAGACGGGGTTTTTCCATGTTGGTCAGGCTGGTCTTGAACTCTGAACCTCAGATGATCCTCCCTCTTCAGCCTCCCAAAGTGCTGGGATTACAGGCATGAGCTACTGTGCCCACCTCTGCTGTAATATTTTATAAGGCTCATACCTATTGTCCCTTTCCTCCAGGAAGCCTTCCATGATAGCCTGAATCAGTTCCTTTAGCCCCATACAACATTCTTGACTACATCTCTGGTGTGGATATTTTTTACTCTGCCTCATGATATAGACATCCTTTTGTATGGAGAGCTCTCCAGAGCTCATTTGCCTCTGTAAGTCCTCCTCAGCCTGTTTTCATGCTTATGAGGGTGGCATAAAATGCTTGTGTAGTGAATAGGTACAATACAGACCAAACTAATTGAGCTTAGCAGGAATCCTGCCCAAGGAAGAAGAGACAAGCCCAAGCAAATCCCAGCTTTGGGCTGGATGGAACCAGTTTAGAGAAGAGTATGAGTTCTGGCCAAGAGAAGTGGGGAGGAGGACAGAGGGTTCTTCCTATAAGGCAGCTTCGATGTGGTCTCCATGACAATGAAGAAGAGTCCAGTGGGTCTTTAAGTTGGTACTGGGCACTTCGGTGGTGTGGGGCCTCTCTAGAGGTGCCAGTGCCCCTCCAGTTCTGAGTTTTTGTTTGTTTTGTTTTGTTTTTGACAGAGTTTCACTCTTGTTGCCCAGGCTGGAGTGCAAAGGCTCCATCTTGGCTCACTGCAATCTCCACCTCCCCTGTTCAAGCGATTCTCCTGCCTCAGCCTGTCACTTGATTACAAGTGCCTGTCACCACCCCTGGCTAATTTTTTGTAAGTTTAGTAGAGACGGGGTTTCACTATTTTGGTCCGCCTGGTCTTGAACTCCTGACCTCGGGTGATCCACCTGCCTTGGCCCCCGAAGTGCTGGGATTACAGGCGTGAGATGCCACACCCATCCTTTTTTTGTGTTTTTTTGAGAAACGAGAGGGTCTCCCTCTGTTACCCAGGTTGGAGTGCAGTGGTGCCATCATAGTTCACTGTAACCTTGAACTCCTGGCTTCAAGCAATCCTCCCACCTCAGCCTCCCAAGCAGCTGGGACTACAGGCATGCGCTATCATGCCTGGCGTGTGTGTGTGTGTGTGTGTGTGTGTGTGTGTGTGTGTGTTGTGGTTTTTATAGAGACAGGGTCTCACTATGTTGCCCAGGCTGCTGGCTCTGAGTTCTTATATTTTTTGGAGGACCCCTGGCTCCCTGGTGACTAAGTGCCCCTGCATCATTCCCAATCCTCCCCAGCCCTGGCAGAGGCTGAGAGAAGATACTGCTGCTGTCACTGACCTCTGATTGAATGCCCAGGCTCAGAGCAGTGATATTTCCAAGGGGAACATGTGCCTCTTACACCACTGGAAGTAGCTGGGGAGGAAAGAATAGAGGAGCTGGAGGTTTCTGTTGGGAATCACATCACAACAACCAACATGTACCGAGCCATGCCCTGCTGTAAGGGCATGACCTGCATTAACCCATGCAACCTCACAATGAACTTGTGAGGTATTAGGATTGTTATTCCCATTTTACAGATGAGGAAACAGAGCCCTCACAAATACACATCTACCCCAAGGGCACCCACAACAGACTCAGACTGAAGACACCCCAAACAGACTCACAGACATGCACTTTGAAGGTGCATACAACAGGCCAGATGAAGGCCACACCTGAGCCAAAGATACACATAGACCCTCATGGAGGCAGGATGTTCACAGTCCCCTCCTGGACACACAGCTTCGTGGACACGTGCAGCACACTCCCTGACACCGTCCTACACATTTTTTGGTGGGGGTTGCACAGATAAGTGCTTCTTTCCCCACTAGTAGATTGGGGGTGCTGAACTCTGACCTGTTTCCCAGTAGCCTAAGTTATACAATGTAAATGTGGGGTTTTGATATGCAAATGTTCATGTAAAGGCAGGCTGTGGCTTGCTCTGGAGGCTGGAAGATAGGAGCACTGTGATGAGTAGGGAGAGGAAGCTGTTGGATTCACCTGGATCAGACATCAAGATGGCTCAGCAGCCATCAGAGAAGCAGGCTTTCCCCAGGGCAGGTTTCATGAATGAGCGGCATAGGGCTGGATTGGGTTCTCTGGGTTGAGTTAGCTGGGGACATTCTGTGGGTGACCTGTGCCATGTGACTGTGAGAGGAGGATGGAAGTCCTGGCTTCCTCATGGTCTGGAAGAGCTGAGTTTCAGAGCCTTAAAGGGTGAAAATCACTGGGGTAGCCTTGTGAGACAGCTCTGCAAGGCCAGATGGATGACATAAATAGGGTCAAGTAATGTCCTGTGTCCCTTTAGTGTCTCTCAGACTGGAGACACTAGAGGAATGAACCAGACAGCGGGGTCTGGTGGTGGGGATGGAAGAGGGGGAGCCTGGGGTTCTCTTCATGGGCTGGTGGGTCAGGATGATCAGAAAGAACCACTCTGACTTCCTTTTGTCTTGTGTCACTGTCCCCCTTTCACATTGCTTCCTCTAAACTGCAGGGCTTCTGAATGATGGGTGCATGGATCCTGAAATTAACTGCCTGCACCAAGATGCCTGGTGCCCATTTTTCTTTTATCTATTTATTATTTTTTAAATTTTTTTCAGTTGTTAAACAATTCTTTATTGAAATATTTTCCTTTGTGCTTCTTAACTAGCTGGGCATTCCACAGCACCACTGCTGATGTCATCTATGATGTCATGAGGGTGGCAGCCATCAACATTACAGCCCACAGACTGGGCAGTCCCCTGGATCTCTGTATGGTTCCAGAGAGTTCTCTGGCTAAAGATCAGTGCCGCATCTGTCGAGCGATGTTGACAGTCTCATTGAAAGTGATATTCCTGCTGTGTTTAATGTTTTTCTGTTTCTTTCTGTCTCTTGGTGGTTCCTTGAGGGCTTTGATGATCAGGGCAGGGGCAGAAGGCACCACCTCAATCTGGGCCTGTCTGTTCTGAATGGTCAGTTTCACCGTAAACCTCAGGCCCTTCCAGTCACCTGGTTGCCTTGGCAATGTCATCACCAACCTTTTTTGGAGACAGACCCAGGGGGCTGATCTTGGGAGCCAGCACAGAAGTGGCAATGACGTCACCCCTGGTGCACCTCAGATATATGACTTTGATCTTGTTGGGGTTGAACTTCAGTGGCGTGGTGGAGGCGGCTGCTGTGGGATGAACCCGGATTTGAGATGACCAAAGAAAGTTGCACCTTGGCCTCCTCCGAGCCAAAAGCCATTTATTTATTTATTTATTTAAGACAGGGTTTCACCATGTTGGTCAGGCTGGTCTTGAACTCCCGACCTCAGGTGATCCACCCACCTTAGCCTCCAAAGTGCTTGGATTACAGGCATGAGCCACCACGACAGCCTATTTATTTATTATTTTAATGTTATAGAACTAAGAAGATTTTTTTGGTGGGGGAAGCATGGGGACAACGTGTCACTATGTTACCCAGGCTG